CTGCTGCTGCTGCTGCTGCTGCTGCTGCTGCTGGCCATGACACAGCGAATTCCTTGGGAGCTGGGGACGAAGCTCGCCCCGCTGCAGAAGAAGCAGCAGCAACAGCAGCAGCAGCAACAGCAGCAGCAGCAGCAGCAGCAACAGCAGCAGATGAGAGCGAATCAGCAATCTCAGCAGCTCAAACAGAAGAAGGGCTGCAGCAAGAGTGCAGCAATATATCCTTTGCGGTGCAGCAGCAGCAACAGCAGCAACAGCTGCTGCTGCTGCAGGAACACGAGCAGGTGCAGCAGCAACACGAGCAGCTGCAGCAGCACAAGCAGCAGCAGCAGCAGCACCACCGACACTGGCAGCTGCAACACCAACATCTGCAGCTGCACCGCCAACACCCACAGCAGCTGCAGCCGCACCAACTGCAGCAACAACGTCAGCAGCTGCAGCAGCATCAGCAGCAGCAGCTGCACCACCAGCACCAGCACCTGCAGCAGCAGCAACTGCTGCAGCAGCAGCAGCAGCAGCAGCAGCAGCANGCAGCAGCAGCAGCAGCAGCAGCAGCAGCACTTGTACAGAAGCAAACACATGCGCTTCTGGCAGCCTTCACTGCTGCTGCCGACCTCCGTGCTGCAGTGTCCTTTGATCGAGGCTTCTTTGCTGCTGCAGCTCAAGGGAACCAGCAGCAGCAGCAGCAGCAGCAGCAGCAGCAACAGCAGCAGCACGCAGGGCCCAGAACAAGCAGCAAGTGGGGGCGCAGCTGAGTGCAGCTGCAGCAGCAGCAGGCACCGAGGCTGCCAGCTGCTGCTGGCAGAGTTTCGCCGTCTGTACACTGCATCTGCTGCGAGCTGCAGCAGCTGCAAGAGCAGCAGCAGCAGTCGCTGCAGCAGCAGCAGCAGCACCTGCTGCCGCATCAATCCAGAGGAAACACAGCAGCAGCAGACTGATGAAAGATGCTGCAGCAACATCTGCTGCTGGGCAGGCAGCTGGAGAGCAGCAGCAGCAGCAGCAGCAGATCCGCGAGTGGAGGCAGCCAGTGTGAGTGTTGCTGCAGCAGCACAAGCAGCAGCAGCAGCAGCAGCAGCAGCAGCAAGGAAGCTGTCGCTGCTGCAGCTCATGTGCAGAGCCTGCTGCTGCTGTGCTGCTGCGTGTGCTGCAGATGCTGCTGGAGACAGCACTGGCTGTGGCGCTCGTGCGTTCTGAGCTTCGTACTGTCTCCTGTCTCCGTTCAGCAGCAGCAGCAGCAGCAGCAGCAGCAGCAGCAGGAGCAGCAGCAGGAGCAGCAGCAAGCCACAGCAGCAGCTGCAGCCACAACAACCCCTCGGCGGAGATAGGCCGTCTGCTGCTTCAGGCTGCGCCGCTGTCGGGCTGGCACTCAGGTAAGCAGTGAATTGCTGCTGCTGCTGCTGCTGCTGCTGTTGCTGCTGTTGGTGTTACATATGCTGGTTTGTTTGTGCTGCAGCGGGGTTTTAGTTCTTGCTGCTGCTGCTGCTGCTGCTGCTGCAGTTGTCGCTCGTTGTGCTGGGCTGCTGCGCGTGTGGGGCAAGGGGGAAGGGTATTGACTGCACCTGCTGCTGCTGCTGTTGCTGTTGCTGCTGCTGTTGCTGCTGCTGTTGCTGCTGCTGTTGCTGCTGCTGTTGCTGCTGCTGTTGCTGCTGCTGCAGCTGTGATAAGCGCGGCACCCTTTTGTTCTGGCGCGGTTGCCTTGGAGCGTCTGCTGCTGCACCTCTGGGGAGTTTTGCTTCAGCAGCAGCAGCAGCAGCAGCAGCAGCAGCAGTTTCTAGCAGCCAGAAAGGGTACTGCTCCTGGTATGCTGCTGCAGCAACAGCAGCAGCAGCAGCAGCTTCAGCAGCAGCAGCAGCAGCAGCAGCAGCAGCGCCAGCTTCAGCTGCAGCAGCAACAGCAGCACCGGCTCTCAGCTGCCTTGTACGCCCCTCTCCCAATGCTGCAGCAGCAGCGCCCACGGCAGCAGCCTGCTGCTGCTGCAGCCATCGCTGCAGCAGCAGCAACTGCAGCAGCAGCAACTGCAGCAGCTACACGCCCCAACTATAGCACTCCGTTGCCGCACCCCGGAGAAGCAGCAGCAAACTCAACAACAGCAGCAAGAGCAGCAGCAAGAGCAGCAGCAGCAGCAGCAGCAGCAGCAGCAGCAAGAGAAGGGGCCTCGCTGGCTTCGGTGCCCAATCTCCACAATGTGGGTACAGCCGGAGGCCCCCTGAAT